ATTGCAAGTTTACATCAACATTCTTATTCCGCTTAAGTATCTTATCAATCCCAACCTTGCTGAAAGTACAGATCACATGAACGTTACAAACAATTTCTTGGATCACGTTGCTTCAGAGATGTTAAAAGAATAAGACATTCCAGCAATGCAATCGGTATAATATGTCCGACATGTATGCTTTAAAAGGTAGATAACAATGCTTCCTTTCAATCCGATTGACGCCATGGAATAGGACGCAGTACAATTATCTATGTCAGTTCGAATATTTAAGCGTGTAAATTTAAAAATGAATGTCTTGATGTTATAAGTGACTCCTATCGGGTTACCGTAAATTGTGGATCGTAAAAACATCTGGTGGTAGGATGTATATGCAGACCACCACATGAAAATATCAGCTTTTATAAATTGTCGACAAGCATATTTTTTATTGTGATTTTGATCCACCTAACATTACAAAGAATTCGACTTCGGTGTCAGAACAATATAACAAGCTAGCTGAAGCAATATAAATTTGTAGATGTATCCGACAGGTCCAAAAGCAGACTAGGAGTGATAATATACTTGATTTAATATTTGCAATCAACATCGACCCCATCTTAGTGCACGTCATTTATGAATTTTTGAGTGATAATAGAGTCGTATTGAGTCTTATTCAATCTCCGAACACCACACTATCGAACTGTAAAGCTCCAACGATATACCAAATCAGGTAGTTCAGTCAACAAACCTGAAAGATGAGTGAAACTCTTAGTCTATGCTTTCCATAGGAATCTTACTTTACTGTAACACTGATACCGCATTTTCCTATTTAAACCGCAATATGACTCATTGTCTATATGATTTATCATGCTGATAGGGGCCAAAATACATTTAAAACTTTTGACAGAAAGTTGGGAAACTTGAAGCACGCTAGCACAATCTGTATAACGTGTGTGCACTTCCGAGTCTGCTGAAGTTGACTGACAGAAGCAATTTATTTCTACACACGTGTCGTTTGACTATAGAGAATAAAGCTTTAAGTGGCAAAAATCCAGACTAATCAATACTTCGGTTTTTTCAAATCTCACATAGAATCAAGTTCTCTTAATACAACCAGATTCTTCATAATTAACGGCAACTTTATGGACAACCTTAATACTATTCATGAACGATTAGACCGCCATATCTCGCGATGCTACAACACAAAACCGAGACATCTATGGCTAGGCTTCCAATGTTGACATCTGTCCGTCTATCAACATTTGGTTTGATATCAATCAACATTTAACAGACCATAGCTGCCCAAAAAACGTCCTATAATGGTAGACCTGGTGGAATTCCTGAGCCGTTCGTGAAATACGGTAGTACAGAATTTTTATCGCTCTGTTTAAAATTGCTCAATCTATAAATAGACAATGGAGCCTATCCATCTGTATGTAAAACATCGCTTATCGCCCCTAGATTCAAAACGGGGTCACGTGGTAATATTGCTAACTAAAGGTCCATCAACGTGACATCTATGCCATCAAAATTCATGGGGAAAATTACCCACAAACAGCTATTATCATTCTTACTTCCAGCGAGCCTGATTAGTCCATCTCAACAGGGTTTACGAATAAACTCTCATACTCCATATTGTACTTGGAAACTTTTGGTCAAATTATCTAGAAATCAGTAATAATTCCACACTCCAGTTTTAGTAAGGCTCTCGACAATGTCTCTCACAAATTTCTAAAGCTCTCTTCATTTATGGTAAGGAATCCCCTTTTATTTCGGCTGAAATATTTTTTAACAAAACGTAGCCAAATCGCTTGCTTAGGATCTTGCTACTCTAAGCCTGTGAATGCAACCAGTAGGGTTAAACAGAGACCATTACTCTTTCTCCTTTTCATCAATGACGTTTGCTTGAAGTGACATTAGGTCGAAACCACACAATCCTCAAACCTGAACACGAAACAATTGGAAAAATAGATATTCAACACTGACGCAGAAAAAAACCCAACCAAGGAGAAGGCAGGAAGAATCAAATTCAGTTAATTCGAATACGCTGAATGGCATGGCCCGGCCTTGCAGGCGTGGTCACACTTGAGTGTTGTCATATGCCTTTCATTCATATTAAATATATTGTTCTACCTCCATCCTAAGTGTAACAGAAAGAGAACAGTAAAAATCCCTCTGCAGCTTCTTTGTTGAACAGTATTTTCATTTATTTGTTCCTTCTCCCTTTTGTGTATTCCAACCTTTGTTTTGATCTCGTTTAACCATGTCCTTTGTTCTTCAGTCTCCCCCGTTTAAGCCTTTATTATATGATTTGATTAAAGACTTATTTTTTGTTACCTAATTTTCTATTGCATGTTGCCGGACCATTGACAGTAAGGTTGTGTTTGACTAAGCTCAAGGTCACGGCGTGGTTCATTTTGTGACTGTTAACCTTCTGACTGTCTGCTTGGGAGAATTGCTGCAATCCCTGCAGATAGATATTTGATCCCATCTTATTGGGAATATTTGTATTGATTCTCAGGTATCAAACCCTTTAGTATTAACTGTCTCTTTCATTGTTTAGCGCGCTACTTTGCGTTAGAGAAACTTCTGACTGTATAGCACAGGCTGTACCGTTTGAGGTATTTTGTATTTTTGATGTAATTTGTTCTGTTTTCTTAATTAGAACCGTTTATATTGAGCACAGAGTGTGTTTTGATATAATATAATACGGGTATCTCAAAGACGCGTTGTGGGCTATACAGAGGAACTCGGTCTGGTCTAATCGAATAAATTTTGGGTTCGTCAGTTCGTTGTTCCAACCGGATATTGGCTGTTCGGTCGTTACACTAAGTGTGTTCTTCATCATATATTGTTGATTGCAACGATACGATGAGTGGTTGTAGATAACAATGTGACTTCCACGTAAGATCTTATAGATTAGGTAGTTTAATCATGAAAAATTTATAATTTTAAGATTAAGTCCATTATAAGAGCGGTACTAATATCGAAGTAGACTATAATTCCACATGCCTACTCTTCCAACATGGTCAACCTTTCTTTTTTGTTGATGATCTCGTCTCTTGTAGAAAAAGTTATATTTCAGAGGCAAACTTAGTGACGTAAAGAAGTTATACGAATAAGCTGAGTCGTGAAATCTGCCACTAAATATTGACAAGCATGGATTTGTTCACACTGGCCCAGCTCTGATAGGATTCCGGCCATACAAAATACATACTGAAACCCTTCAACACTGTTCATGACTTGGGTTTGAGACATGGTACCATTTTGAACTTTTCTGAACACACCGCAAATCAAGTACCTAAAGCAAGAAAGCTCGTTGGATTCACAATGATAAATTTCAAAAACATTGAGTCGAGATTATTATTATTATATAAAAAATGTACCACACGAATCCTTAGATACCGTGTTCTGGTGTACAGTAATTGCAGACATATCCAACTGATAAATCTGAAGGTGTTCACGGAAGATTAACTAAAGCCTCTTGGAGGTATTCCGAAAACAAGAATTACCATCAAAGATATCAACAACTCAAGCTAGAACATCTCTGAATAAGGTGCATTAAATCAAACCTACTTTTCATCTACCGGCTTATGAATGGTATTTCTTACTCTTTGGCATCCATCCCTTCGTACCTTCTAAATTTTGTTCATTTGTTTTACTGTGTTTCCCTTCTTTTCATCCAAATATCCGAAGTTCGCTTATGTGCATACTTATTGTTATTATTATCGTCATTGTTATCACGGTTGATCCCCTGTAACGTTAGATATCCTTTAATTACTTTTTTTATTCCCTCACTCTTTTCACCTTCCACATAAATTTTATTCCCAAACACCCAAATTTGTAATTAAGTTAATATCTCGTGCTACTCTGAAATAAATTAACTTTTTAGACCCACTTTATCTTCACCATATTTATAAAACCCATACAAACTGACATACGACGACTAGTCTAAGCAAAGACTTGACACTTTTATAGCATCATCATAAACTATTACTGTACAACTCGGGGTTCATGGCCAATGGGACGGGTTGATAAGTGCGAGACAGATAGAGATGGATTGGTAAGAACAGTGATGGTGCGAATGAGAGAAGGTGTAGTAAGAAGAGATGTGCGAAAGCTCTGCCTTCTAGAGGGAGCCGAGTAATTGTAGATTGTAGCTTAGGTTCATGGATGTACAGGCGTACTGTTGTAAGTCCTGTGCCTCCCATTGATATAGAGCAGTTAGTAAGGAGAGCCATGACAGAAATGTATTCTAAGGTGTCTTTGCGTAGCTGGAGGGATTTTGGGGGCCGGTGTAACAGAAAGAGAACAGTAAAAATCCCTCTGCAGCTTCTTTGTTGAACAGTATTTTCATTTATTTGTTCCTTCTCCCTTTTGTGTATTCCAACCTTTGTTTCGATCTCGTTTAACCATGTCTTTTGTTCTTCAGTCTTCCCCGTTTGAGCCTTTATTATGTGATTTTGATTAAAGACTTATTTTTGTTACCTAATTTTCTATTGCATGTTGCCGGACCATTGACAGTAAGGTTGTGTTTGACTAAGCTCAAGGTCACGGCGTGGTTCAGTTTGTGACTGTTAACCTTCTGACTGTCTGCTTGGGAGAATTGCTGCAATCCCTGCAGATAGATATTTGATCCCATCTGATTGGGAATATTTGTATTGATTCTCAGGTATCAAACCCTTTAGTATTAACTGTCTCTTTCATTGTTTAGCGCGCTACTTTGCGTTAGAGAAACTTCTGACTGTATAGCACAGGCTGTACCGTTTGAGGTATTTTGTATTTTTGATGTAATTTGTTCTGTTTTCTTAATTAGAACCGTTTATATTGAGCACAGAGTTTGTGTTTTGATATAATATAATACGAGTATCTCAAAGACGCGTTGTGGGCTATACAGAGGAACTTGGTCTGGTCTAATCGAATAAATTTTGGGTTCGTCAGTCCGTAGTTCCAACCGAATATTGGCTGTTCGGTCGTTACAGTTCTCAAACGAACAGTAATCTCAAGTGACAAATTCTGGAATGCCTGGAAAGCGCAATAAGGTCAACGAAAACTTGGCATTGGGCCACGGAGAAATGCAATCGGATGCACCTCCAGATGTACGGCAAGTCAAATTAGATGCATTTTCATGTCATGGCTCTAATGTTAGTTTAGTAAGTAGACGTAGTAAAGTTAGCTCTAGGATTACCTTAGCAGAGTTGAAAGAAAGACAGTTATTAGAAATGAGAGACTTGAAAGATAGACAGAGGAAACAACTACTGTGCTTTCAGAGAGAGTTTGGGTCGTTAAGGCTGAACGAAAGCACGTGTAGTAAGTTATCTTCTGTTTCTAACTGTGATGACAGAGAAAAGGAGCACACTCACAGGTTTGTAAGTCCTTCTCATGACCTTAGGACAAAGTCTCTAGAAAAGTCAAAATTGCTAGATTATCCGGGAACGAAGAGGAAGGAAGTGACCTTGGAATCTCTTAGTGTAGGTCTTGAACTTCCAAAGGTAGAGCTAAGTACCTTTGATGGACAACCAGCTAAATACTGGAAATTTATTAGACAATTTGATTTATATGTGGTTTCCAAGGTTGAAGACGATGGTCAACGGCTCTTGTACTTGTTACATTATTGTAAAGGCAAGGCTCGAGAGGCCATAGAGGAATGCATAATGCTTCCACCATCGTCGGGTTATCGTAGAGCGTGCGATATATTGAAACGGTTGTTCGGTAGAACACACGAAATATGTCGGGCTTTGATGAAAGATTTAACTGAAGGTCCTGATATTGCGCATAATGACGCAGAAAGTCTATCTAGACTAGCGATAAAGATGGAAAACTGTTCTATAACCTTAGAACAAATGGATTATTCAGCGGATCTCAACTCCGTAGTGACAATAGAAAGTATAGTAAAGAAGTTGCCCACGGTTTTACAGATGAGATGGGCTGAGACAGTAGGAAAGGTAACAGCAAATGGAAGAGAGCCTACTTTTGCTGAGTTAACAGAATTTGTGTCATCTAGAGCGGAAATATTGCTTAGCAGATTCGGACAGATTGCAACTGCTAGTAAACGAGTTGCAAGCAAGGTGGCCTGTTCCACACAAGGTCTGTCGTTCGGTAAAATCGTTAGCAAGTCACCTTGTGTTATATGCGGAGAAACTCATAGTGTGGATAAATGTTTCCAGTTTTCAACCTTAGCAGTCAACGATAAGTGGGCGAAAGCAAAGAAAAGGGCTTGTGTTATTGTTGTCTTCGAAGGGCCACAGATCTGTGGATTGTAAAGATCGTGTTGTGTGTACTGTCGAAGGTTGTCGGGATCGGCATCACCCATCGTTGCATAAAACCATCCGAGTTCAGAGTGGTTCGAGTGAGTGCTTAAAAGAAAGTCATTGTGGGTACACAGAGTCATTAAAAGAGGATGTGTTTCTGGGTCTGATCCCTGTACGCCTTAGAGCTGGGGACAAGGAAGTTTCTGGATATGCGTTTCTAGACAATGGCTCAGATACGACCCTAATCAAGTTAAGTACCGTACGACGTTTAGGATTATCGTCAGATGGGCGTCGATTACCATCAAAACGGTCAACGGAAATAAGTTAAGCAGATCGACCACTAAAGCCTTTAAAGCTTACTCATTGAACGGAGACGAATGTATATGTATTGAACAGGCTGTTGTAGTAGATGATTTGCCGGTGCATCGACCAAGAGTACCTGTGAAGGACAGCGCCAAGAAATGGCCTCATCTTATTGACTTACCTTGGACAGAATCAGTGGATGGTGAAGTTATGTTGCTTATTGGTTGTGACGTGCCTGAAGCGCATTGGGTCCTAGATCAAAGATTGGGTGGAAGAAAAAGCCCATATGCTATTAGGACACTCCTAGGATGGGTTCTGTTTGGACCGGCAGGCTTTAGCAAAAACAGTAAAAGGATGGTAAATTATATTTCTCAGTCTGACAACCCTGTAGAGCAGTTAAAGGAAATATATAACTACGAATTTGCTGACGTGCACTCCTCCGATAAAGCATTATCTTTAAATGACTTGAAAGCAGTTGGCATAGTGGAGCGCGACACTTATTTTGACGAGGGTCATTGGATTGTCCCTTTACCTTGGAGGGTGGAGAGAAATGTAGTCTCTGGTAGCTATGATCTAGCTAGACGAAGATTAGAAAGTCTAAGACGTAGACTCACATGCAATAAGGACTTTCGGGAAAGCTACACTTGTGCCATGCAGCAGACGATTGACAAAGGGTATGCGGTTGTGGTTCCAGGTATGCAACTCGATCCGGGTTATCGTCCAAAATGGTACTTGCCCCATCATGCAGTGATTAACCCCAGAAAACCAAGCAGAGTGAGAGTGGTATTGGATTGTGCTGCTAAGGTGGCTGGTAAATCCTTGAATGACCTTCTTTACCAAGGTCCAGATACTACAGCATGTTTAGTTGGGATCCTGTTACGTTTCCGCAGGGAACCGGTTGCCGTTTCCGCGGATGTGGAAGAAATGTTCATGCAAGTAAAGGTCTCGAAGCCCGATTGTGGAGCGCTACGTTTCCTTTGGTGGCCGAAGGGTGATATCGAGAAGGAACCGGTGGAGTATCAGATGACATCACATCCCTTCGGGGCAATATCCTCACCCTTCTGTGCAAACTTTGCATTGATGAAGACGGCTCAAAGTTCTCTAGTGACTATGATAACAGCGTAGGGGAATCGGTACTGAACAACTTTTATGTGGATGATTGCCTAGTATCCTTTCCCAATGATGAAGATGCGAAAAGTTTTGTGGTACAACTAAATGAATTGATGGCTCGAGGAGGTTTCAAGTTGAAAAAATGGGTGACTAACTCGGAAATTGTAAGGAAAGTTTTTCCGCAATCTGATAGTATGGAAGCTATTGTTGATATGTCTCTGAATCAAGGGCCGACACATCGAGCCCTCGGGATTGAATGGGACACCACACACGATGTTTTTAATTTTCGTTTTGATCCAGGAGAAAAAACTCCGACTAGGAGAGGAATACTATCCACCATTTCATCTCTTTTCGATCCACTGGGCTGATAGCTCCAATATACCTTCCTGCTAAACAACTCTTACAGAATCTTTGTAAAACGCGTATCGGTTGGGACCAGCCTCCGAGTGATAGTGTTGTGTCCTCGTGGAACGAATGGGTCACGTTTGTGCGGAGGCTCGGAACGATCAGTGTTCCTCGAAGCATTATAAATGAAAACAGAAAGAACTTTAAGGCGATTGAGCTGCATTTATTTTGTGACGCCTCTGAATCTGGTTACGGTGCGGTAGCTTACTCGTGGAACATCCCTAAGCACCAAGCACCATACAGCGTTCTACTCTATAGTAAGTCTAGAGTGGCACCTATAAAACAGGTGACTGTGCCTAGACTGGAACTAGCAGCGGCAGTATTGAGTGCTAGAATGGGGGAAGTTTTAAATAGGAACCTTCCTCAGGTGTTTGACAAGACTCACTTCTGGACGGATTCTATGATAGTACTGTACTATATAAAAAATACAGATAGTAGGTATTCCACCTTCGTGGCTAATCGTCTGGCCGCTATTCATCATTTAACATCTGTGGACCAGTGGGGGCACGTAGAATCCAATGAAAATCCTGCTGACTGGACATCACGAGGCATACGGAAGGAGCTAGATTTAAAGAACTGGATTGAGGGTCCTTCCTTCTTAAGGAAGAGGGAGTCTGTAGGAACACTAACGCTTATGTGCGAAAACCCCCCAGAAAATGTTGAATTTAAAAGATGTCACACGACCAACGCAGTTGCGCTAAAACATAGCTTAAGTCCAATTCTGCTATATCACTCAAATTGGATAAAGCTGATTAAAGCGGTAGCATGGCTCAGAAGATACGTGACCTATATAACCATCATGTACTCCCATCACAATGACAGGTCCCTAAGTGTGGGCTATCTGTCAGTTGATGAATTGGATGCAGCTAAACACAAGGTATTAGCCTTAGTGCAAAAGGAAGTGTATGGGGAAGCAGTAAAAGTGTCTCGATGCAATGGCGTAAGCGCAACTGATATAAAAGAGCTAAAAAATCTTTCACCTACGCTAATCGATGGATTGCTTTGTGTCGGCGGACGATTAAATTACTCGGATTATCCACTCTCAATCAGACATCCGGTAATTTTACCCAGTCATCACTTCGTAACAGAACTTATTATTAGACACCATCACCACCTAGAAGGTCACACCGGGACATCACAAGTGTTAGCTACCATACGAAGAAATTATTGGATTGTTAAAGGAACCAGTGCAGTTAAACGAGTGATAGGTAGATGTGTGAGGTGTATACGCGCGAAAGCCACATTAGGCCAACAGATGATGGCACCTCTCCCCAAGTGTCGAGTGCAGCAAGGCTGGTTTTGCTTCTCCTCCGTCGGGATAGACTATTTTGGGCCGTTGATAGTTCGTCGGGGAAGAAGTGAGGAAAAAAGATATGGATGCCTATTTACGTGTCTCCAAACACGTGCCGTACATTTGGAAGTAGCTTTCAATTTGAGTACTGATGCTTTTATAATGGCCTTAATACGTTTCATAGGAAGGAGAGGAACTCCTAAGGAAATCTATAGCGACAATGGAACTAACTTTGTCGGGGCTACTTCCGAATTACGGGCTAATATGAGTGTGTGGGACAAGCATAAAATAAACGACTTAACAGTATCGAAGGGTATACACTGGCATTTCAACCCCCCACTAGCTAGCCATCGAGGCGGAGTTTGGGAGAGATTAATACGGTCTGTTAGGAGGATCTTACTATCTATTTCCAACGGGCAAATATTACACGATGATAGTTTGGCAACTTATTTTGTGGAGGTAGAACGAATTTTAAACAACCGCCCAATCGTTCCTGTGACGTCAGATGAAAAGGATGATTTGGCGCTCACGCCAAACACTTTGTTATTACTAAGAGACTGTGATGGTTTAGGAGTGGAGTGTAGTGTTGCGGATAGGTATTCAAAGCGATGGAGACAGGTCAATTGTTTAGCCAATACCTTCTGGCGTCGATGGATAAAAGAGTACATTCCTTTACTGCAAGTGAGGCAGAAATGGTTTTGCAAACACAGAAACTTAAAAGAAGGCGATGTAGTTCTAGTGGCTAACGATGCAACTACTCGGGGTTCATGGCCAATGGGACGGGTTGATAAGTGCGAGACAGATAGAGATGGATTGGTAAGAACAGTGATGGTGCGAATGAGAGAAGGTGTAGTAAGAAGAGATGTGCGAAAGCTCTGCCTTCTAGAGGGAGCCGAGTAATTGTAGATTGTAGCTTAGGTTTATGGATGTACAGGCGTACTGTTGTAAGTCCTGTGCCTCCCATTGATATAGAGCAGTTAGTAAGGAGAGCCATGACAGAAATGTATTCTAAGGTGTCTTTGCGTAGCTGGAGGGATTTTGGGGGCCGGTGTAACAGAAAGAGAACAGTAAAAATCCCTCTGCAGCTTCTTTGTTGAACAGTATTTTCATTTATTTGTTCCTTCTCCCTTTTGTGTATTCCAACCTTTGTTTCGATCTCGTTTAACCATGTCTTTTGTTCTTCAGTCTTCCCCGTTTAAGCCTTTATTATGTGATTTTGATTAAAGACTTATTTTTGTTACCTAATTTTCTATTGCATGTTGCCGGACCATTGACAGTAAGGTTGTGTTTGACTAAGCTCAAGGTCACGGCGTGGTTCATTTTGTGACTGTTAACCTTCTGACTGTCTGCTTGGGAGAATTGCTGCAATCCCTGCAGATAGATATTTGATCCCATCTTATTGGGAATATTTGTATTGATTCTCAGGTATCAAACCCTTTAGTATTAACTGTCTCTTTCATTGTTTAGCGCGCTACTTTGCGTTAGAGAAACTTCTGACTGTATAGCACAGGCTGTACCGTTTGAGGTATTTTGTATTTTTGATGTAATTTGTTCTGTTTTCTTAATTAGAACCGTTTATATTGAGCACAGAGTTTGTGTTTTGATATAATATAATACGAGTATCTCAAAGACGCGTTGTGGGCTATACAGAGGAACTTGGTCTGGTCTAATCGAATAAATTTTGGGTTCGTCAGTTCGTTGTTCCAACCGGATATTGGCTGTTCGGTCGTTACACTAAGTGTGTTCTTCATCATATATTGTTGATTGCAACGATACGATGAGTGGTTGTAGATAACAATGTGACTTCCACGTAAGATCTTATAGATTAGGTAGTTTAATCATGAAAAATTTATAATTTTAAGATTAAGTCCATTATAAGAGCGGTACTAATATCGAAGTAGACTATAATTCCACATGCCTACTCTTCCAACATGGTCAACCTTTCTTTTTTGTTGATGATCTCGTCTCTTGTAGAAAAAGTTATATTTCAGAGGCAAACTTAGTGACGTAAAGAAGTTATACGAATAAGCTGAGTCGTGAAATCTGCCACTAAATATTGACAAGCATGGATTTGTTCACACTGGCCCAGCTCTGATAGGATTCCGGCCATACAAAATACATACTGAAACCCTTCAACACTGTTCATGACTTGGGTTTGAGACATGGTACCATTTTGAACTTTTCTGAACACACCGCAAATCAAGTACCTAAAGCAAGAAAGCTCGTTGGATTCACAATGATAAATTTCAAAAACATTGAGTCGAGATTATTATTATTATATAAAAAATGTACCACACGAATCCTTAGATACCGTGTTCTGGTGTACAGTAATTGCAGACATATCCAACTGATAAATCTGAAGGTGTTCACGGAAGATTAACTAAAGCCTCTTGGAGGTATTCCGAAAACAAGAATTACCATCAAAGATATCAACAACTCAAGCTAGAACATCTCTGAATAAGGTGCATTAAATCAAACCTACTTTTCATCTACCGGCTTATGAATGGTATTTCTTACTCTTTGGCATCCATCCCTTCGTACCTTCTAAATTTTGTTCATTTGTTTTACTGTGTTTCCCTTCTTTTCATCCAAATATCCGAAGTTCGCTTATGTGCATACTTATTGTTATTATTATCGTCATTGTTATCACGGTTGATCCCCTGTAACGTTAGATATCCTTTAATTACTTTTTTTATTCCCTCACTCTTTTCACCTTCCACATAAATTTTATTCCCAAACACCCAAATTTGTAATTAAGTTAATATCTCGTGCTACTCTGAAATAAATTAACTTTTTAGACCCACTTTATCTTCACCATATTTATAAAACCCATACAAACTGACATACGACAACTAGTCTAAGCAAAGACTTGACACTTTTATAGCATCATCATAAACTATTACAGTACAAACTTTTGTTCTACCATCAAATCTTACTGCATTAACAAGTTGCTTCCTCATATATATATATTTTCCATTTTGTAGTACATATATTACCGTTTATTCTTATTCGGTTTCGCAAACATACTAAATTATTTATACATTTCACATTTCTTTCCTCCATGTTTTTTATCGTTTCTTTAAAGTCAACTCAGTATTCTTCTAAATTGCACGGAACATGTCTAAATATTACGAGAAAACTACTGAAGCTCATACATAGCTGTATTTCTGAAGAAGCCTGAAACTGTTTCTTCACAACACTTATTTACCAATAAGCTGTTTGTGAATAATAGTAATACTGTACACACGAATATTTCATGATTTTTTATATTTCATCCATGAAATGAAACCCCATTGAAAGTGTTGTTACTGTTAGTGGCTAAAACTGTACATTCTATTGTGTCTATATATGTAACGGATGTGTAGATTTTTATTCCACGTCTACCAATAACACTTGCAAAGTGATTTGCGTCACTTAGCTTGTTTGTCTTCTATTTTCTAGATGGTCTGATTCAATGGAATTACGGCTAAAAATTCGGATAGTTGCACGGTATATAACGTGAAAATGAGTTTAAACCTGGAATAAGATTTCAAACAAATACTCCGAAGTTCCCTATTATTGTTGGAAGTGAGTAAGACACACTGTGGAAATCATCAAACTGCATCATGAGGTAAGCACTAACTTGAAATCTTGAAAGAAAGGAAGGCAATAAATAGAGGAAGACCAAGAGACACATTTCGACGGGAACTAGGAACAGACATCAGACAAATCAATAGCGACTGGGAACAACTGAAGGGGATTGCTCAAGACAGAGTTCTATGATGAATGCTGGGGGACGACTCATGCTTCTCAACGAGGACAACAGGTGTAAGTAAGCAAGTAAGTAAGTAAGTAAGGGAAAACGATGATGCAACAACATTCCTCATGGGATATAATCAAGGTAGATGCTATATTTGTCCATGAGTGTCTTCGCCAGCATGTTCTACCAACAAAGTAGATGGTAGGAGTTCATAGCAGTCCTCTAATATCTGAGCTAGTGTAAAATGGTAGTTTGCTTGTGTCATTTCATGCTATGATACACTTTCAATTCTTTGGCGTTTCTTAACAAGGGGGTTCATCAATTTCGAAACTGACGTAAAACAACCCTTTAGGCATAACAACGAAACACGATCTTGAGATGCGCGGAAATTAGCTAGGTACAGGTGGTTGATGAACATGCTGGGCTATCCGTTCGTAGCACGTTTCCACGTCATAGTAAATACATTAATCCAGTTAGGAAAGTCAGCCGGTCGAAGTTATTTGCTCATTGAAAGACAGGCAGAAGCTATTCTAGACTATTTAAAACTGACAGTCATCAAGCGGAGGCAAACCCTCAGTGGGTTTGTGAACTTTCATTGGCGTATCAGATGAAATTCTTCACCTATTAAGCCATAAGCGAGTGAACGTCATTGAAGCGTGAAAGGAGTTTCATTAAAGCAACATGCATTCTGGCCTGTTTAGTAATTCCGGGAATTCTCAAGCCAATTCTCCAACAATTTCGCTGCCTATGATAAGAAAAGTCGTGTAGGAATGTACACGCTTCTGTGTAAGTTATCAGCAACTCAAGGTGACTAAAAGTGATAAATGTCTCTTGGGTTACATTCCAATGGCCATTACACGTTTCAACTATGTTCCTCTACATTTGGTAAGGCTCCTATAAAAATAGAATGAATTAAGCTATTTTCAAGCAAGTTGACATTGCTTCACGTTGATCCCAACCAGTATCTGGACTGTTACGATCCTTAACTAAACTTCTGAGTACAACTGGACTTCAAACGATTGCCAAGCACCAACAAGCCAATGGTATTTTAACACGATTCCACTGAGTTGCAAGCCTGGTATCCACATATAAAGCCGAGTAAAGCGCAGCACAACTAACTGTCCATAACATCCAAACCAAAACCAGTGAATAACCAATGACTCAGGAGTCCGCTTATTTGGCAGTTACAACAATTTAATTAGTTGTTACAACAAATATTAACGAAAATGTCGACACCAACTGTCCAGGTAACATCATTAAACGTAAAGACCATAAGTACCTTCGCTAGATATCATAGCTGACCCCGAGCTCCAGTCATGCATTAGGAATCCAGGCGCAATATTAACCAAAAACAGGGTCACAACATGGAGATGCTCGTGCCCGGAAAGTATGTTAGCTCTATCAGACAAGATTAACAGTGCGAAAACCGAAACTCCATTGGGACCTTGCATTCGGTCGGTTTTGAACCAGCAAGTTGGGTGTGAAAGGGTTGGAAAAGAATAGTAAACTAAGAAATAGTGTATTTTTGAGTATCGGTCAATAGGTTTTACGTAAGAACACCAGGAATGCAGCATTACAGTGCACACTAAATGATTTACAACCAATACTGAAATATGTACAAACTGAATAGGATTCAGAAAATAGTGACTTCGACATTTATTTATGATCTACGGTGTCCAACTCGTTTATGTGCCTAAGGATGCCTCGGATATTTCAGGTTTGACGGCGTTTTCGCCCGTAACACCTTTATAATCGAAAGACATGTTGCGACAATCAAATTCTCAATATGAATGGTTCTATAAGTCCTCGACATTTGATGGTAATCGCATTGGTTTTGATGGACACATCTAGCTCAAGGCGCTCGGTCACATATCCACACCAAACCGCCAGTAGGTATTGGGCGCTAAGCATCTCCTACAACTGTTAACCAGCTTAGATCAAACGCTTCTCGAGTTTTCGATACCCTTTCAAATATAACTTCGAACCCCTTCACTCCTGACTTTGATCTAACTGGGTTGGCATACTTCGATTATGAAGGTGTTACTGGCAACCTCCTAATGGTTGTGCCATCTTTAGTGATATTTTCCCAGTCAGATCAGAAGTCAGAGGTGAATAAGTCCAAAGGTTTATTTGGGAAGTCACCGATTTGGTGAGAAGCGTTTGATTTAAGCTATACAGTAGTTACAAAGGACACACAATAGAGCGTGCCCACTCGCAAGGTTTTGCGTTTGGGTGGTCAAGAACTTTCAGGCGGGGTGTGTGTAGTAATATGAAGGAGGTCGGTTTCGATTTTGTAGACTTACGGAAGTATTCATTTTGAGGAAATATTTACCGTGACATGCGTCTTTTAAATACGTACGAAACAAATTTATGTGAGTTAAACATTTTTGAATAAAAAGTGGGTCTTCTGGGCTTTGACGTCTATAAATTCACTGAAAAGCCATGCTTATCCTTGGTAAGATTCTTGATAACGGAACGGTTTGTGTGCTACTCACTGGAGAAACCTTAACTTCACTGCCTGATGATGAAAGCCGAAAATTGAAAGAACACTCGTCGGAAATCCACTTTTGATCATTTCAGTCATAGGAAACATACTTTTATGGCTTTGAGGAATTAATATTGTTTAGACGACACTTTGAAGACAGTCGGCGGTTATTTCGTAAAGATGAGTTGGTTCCCAGATGAGGATGGGATACGGCAAACGTTGGATTTGCTACATAATTCTCAATCAACTGACACAAACGTTCAAAGGGTTGTGCATGAGGTTAATCAAGTTCCCCCTTTAACAGTTTTAGAAATTGAATGAGTTGAACAATGTTCCTGATTTTAACAAATACCTAGCTTATATCTTGACGAATGCAGGTTCGGAAAGTAAGTTTAAAATATGATCTAACTATTAATATTGTCCAGGTGACAGCACGCGTTCTCTTAGTGGACTTATTCTGAAAAATAATCTGAAAAGTCACTTTAAGAGATGCCCTCCTGAACTTATTAGCTACATCAAGGATGGGTGTTTACGGTGCATCAGTGATAGTTCACCTATGATCAGATCAATTGTCGGAATTCTTATTACCACTATTGTAACTAGTGACGGCATACAAAATTGGCCAGAGTTGCTTCCAAAGTTGGTGGAATGTATTGATTCTCATGACATTAACTTTATGGAGGTTCGTTATGTCGATGACTAAATAAGTCTCTAGGGTGCTTTTGGCGCGATCGAAAAAATATGCGAAGATTCTTCATCTCAACTGGAAACCGATCGTATTGGTTGTCCTATAGGACTGCTTATTCCGAAATTCTTACAATACTCTAGACATGACAGCCCAAAAATCAGGTGAGATATGCTTCATATTTGTTACGTGCCCGTGAAGTTTACTATCAAATTCAGTTAATATATTTTCTTTTGCAATAAGGAGCTTGTAGTGGCCATTCCCTCTTAAATATCTATTGTTTTAGTGGGTTATTCAATGATATAGACGACTTGTCCCGGCAGTAGGTCCCTAAAGTTAATTTCTTGGTAAAAACTTGTGTAGGCGAGGGTTTTGTTCATCTCTGGATCTTAACGTATAGCGTGTCATTTGACTTAAGCCGCTTTGACCTAGTTGTAGAACACATTAAAAATTGTTCCCGTACATCTGAATTAACGCGATTGATTACACTAATGAACACTCAAGAGGATTTTAAGTTTCATGATTTTTAACTGACGTTACATTATTATGGTACTGTTCCTTGGTCTCCACTCTCGGATCTTTAAGTCTAGGGGCTTTCTGTCGCAGGTTTGCATGTTCGAACGTAATAGTTTCGAAATGTTTTTTATAACCTAAATTGGCTTATAACTAGTGCTGCCAACAGGCGTTTAAGTCTGAGACAAGTATCTTCTAGACCTACATTATGTTGTGAAACTTTTATTGCTCAAGCTTCCTGTTTTTGTTGATGTTCACTTAGTGCAGCTGCAAGATGTAATAAATTACACTAAAATGTCTTCGTGCATATGTTTATCTTTCATTTAAGTTGTTTACTGCTATCTATATCAAAATGGTCGTCTTCGACTAAGAGGTCATAGTTTTGACCCAGTCTTGACTTTCCATTAAGCAGCGAGTTATCACTTGAATCTAGTTTGAGACCCAGTAGATAAAAATTCCCATATTGACTTAGAAATGTACACATCGTATTAAACTATAGTTTTTCATTGTAGGGTTATACAGTGTCGTTTGTTAGTGCATCATTTACTCGGACATTTGTCACTGAAAGTTTGTATTTGCAGATTTAACTCGATCTTACCGTCAGTCGATCGTTACGGAAAACTGGTGACTCACTTTAATATCGAGCTAATACCGGCAAATGCTCAAAGCGATGTTACCAGGTGGTAGCTATGTGTAAAAAGCTTGTTGGATTTCAACATACTTTAATAATAATCACCAGAATGATAGGCTTCGGCTTGTTGGCCATGACCGTACAATTTGTAATTAACTCAGTTAATTAGCTGACCATTCTGAACCAACACTCACCTATGCGCTCGGTATTTTGCTAGTCCTGCAATTTGTTCTTGGTTATTTAGCTTGATCATAGTCAAATCTTTAGACTTACTTTTGTCCCACTTATTCTAGGGCCTAGTTGCTCTTCTATTCTTTATTTCTCTAATGCAGTACCTGTAACAAGTACAGTTTTCAAAAACCTAATAAACAAAATTTCATGTAATTTAGGTCTCATGCTCTTGCATGCATCAACCACTTCATACATAGTCAATCTCAGGTTCTCCTACACTTTGTTAACGAGTTTCTGGAGTGTTTGTTCGCTTTAGCCGAAGATGAAGATCCAAATGTCCGACGACATGTTTGCTCTGCATTTGTACAGCTTCTGGAAGCTCACTTGGATAAATTACTTCCAAATTTACCTGACATCATTGAGGTAAAGCTGTGTTTTTAATTAAAAAAAATAGTTTATGCTTCTTCGCACTCAAGAAAACGATGAAAATATTTCAAGAGAGGCATGTGAATTTTGGCTCTCGCTTTCTGAACAACCTGTGTGCCACCAAGCTCTGTCGCCATATATCGGGCGACTTATCCCAGTCTTAGTTTGTGGAATGAAGTATTCAGAAAGTGATATGGTGTTACTTCGAGTAAGACATTAAAACTAAAATATTTTTGTAGAATGATTTAGAAGAAGATGCTCATCTGCCTGACAAGGAATGCGATATTCGCCCACGGTTTCATAAGACAAAAAATAAACTTTTCTCTCCAGAGGTAAATACAATCATCCTTCTAGTGGTTTTTGTTTAGGATGATGACGAAGATGAAGACGACGATTACGTTTCCAACTGGACTCTCAGGAAATGTTCTGCTGCTGCCCTTGATGTGTTGGCTAGTGTGTTCCACACAGATTTTCTACCTATTTTGTTGCCAATCACAAAAGAACTTCTGTTTTCTCCTCAGTGGGAACTTAAGGAGTCTGGTATTTTGGTTCTTGGTGCTATTGCAGAAGGTTAGTTCATTATAGTAAATGACTTCGTTAAGGTTGTATGAAGGGCATGATTCCATACCTTCCAGAGTTATGTCCGTTCCTGATTGGTTGTCTATCGGATGACAGGCCTCTTATACGTAGTATAACTTGTTGGACATTAAGCCGTTATTCTCATTGGATCGTTGGACAACCTCATGAGCAATACTTCAAGCCTTTAATGGTTGAGGTAAGTCAACCTTTAAACTTAATTGTTGTAGCTCCTCAAAAGAATTTTGGATTGTAACAAACGTGTTCAGGAGGCAGCCTGTTCTGCTTTCGCTACTCTAGAAGAAGAAGCATGTACAGATCTCGTCCCATATCTGGACCTCATCCTACGAACTCTTGTGTACGCGCTTAAACAATATCAACACAAAAACTTGTTTATTTTGTATGATGCTATAGGTACACTTGCAGATTCTGTTGGTCATCATCTCAATCGACCGGTAAATTTAAATTAATCCCGTAATTTCCTCAAAGGATTTCATAGAGATGCTTATGCCACCGCTTTTTGAGAAGTGGAACGTTTTACGAGATGACGAGAAAGACTTATTCCCCCTTCTGGAGTGCCTTTCTAGCATGGCTACTGCCCTAGGAACAGGTTTCCTACCCTACTGCTCTCCTGTGTTTAGTCGATGTGTTAATTTAATTGATAGAACAATACAACTCAGTAAGGTAAGTTTGTCTTGGTTTCTAAACAATTTAGATTGGTGATATAAACCATATTGTTCATCTCTTAACTTACATACTTTCAACTGATTTCAGTTATAAGCGTAGACGCAGCAAAATGTAGTCAGTTAACTTCCATATTTTTTGTACATTTAGCCATTCTTTACAGCGTTAGCTAGTGTAAAAAATTTAGAAATGCTTACCCGTATTAAAGTAACATAGTCCATCTCTGTGAATTATCGATTAATTCAAATATAACTTTTAACTTGACGGTTTCTGAAATGGTTATTAAAGATCTTGATGTTCCTTAGTATTATAATTTTTTCAGTCAATAATTTCGTTGTGGAATAATAGTTGAAACAACAACCCGTATTTATAAATCCCTTGTTTCCTTTTGAATCCACGTTGACTTTACTTGCGCAAATATTTACCCGAATAATTCTTTGATTTGTTATAAGAGTTGGGATACAAATCCTGTTAGATGTTCAGTGAACATCTTAATGTAATTGTTTCGTTGAATATGTTTAAATGTTCATTTTGACAGCTACATGCTCAACAACCAGATGTATATGAACCACCAGACAAAGACTTTATGGTGATTTCTCTGGATCTCCTAAGTGGGCTTATGGAAGGTCTTGGGTCTCAGATGGAACATTTAGTATCAAGTAGCCCCCTGGTAAAGTTACTATGTGAAGCAGCTCAAGACGCTCAACCAGACGTCCGCCAGAGTAGTTTTGCTCTCTTGGGTGATTTAACAAAAGCATGCTTTGCGCACATCCAACCTCAGATTGGTCAGTTTATGGCAATTTTGGCTAATAATCTCAGTTCGGAGCATATATCTGTTAGTAACAATGCTATTTGGGCAATCGGAGAAATTTGTATTCAATTGGGTGAGTGATTTTTAGTTATTCAGTTCACATGTATTTAGCATTTTGAATATTATTTGTGATCAAAATCTAGATAATTGGGGTTATGGTATTTACGATAGACCAAAGCATGAATTATATTGTGATTTTTTTACAACTTGTGACCGCCGATTAGAGAGCAGTAACTTATCGATCGGACCAATGACGCGTGAACCCGTATGAGCAACCTAGAGTTCTGATTGGTCCTGCTTTCCGCCTAGCCCAGTCAATTAAGTCCAAAACATCAGTCCGAGCCTCTGCGATATGAATCATTATATTTCAAACATACTGAGTTTATATACCAATCAAACAGACCACAACGTACCAATAAAATATGAAACAACATTTGTACAAGAGTTAACCAGATGTGGCTGTGAATGAGGGAGGTAGTAATTAATATACTGGGTATAACTCAAGAATGTTAAAACGTATCATAATAGTTTATGGGTCAAAATAAAGCTTATAATAAGAGGAATATGAATATGCATAGTTTAGTTACTTAATAATTATACAGTAGAAATACACGTTTAGTATTGGTCCGTAAATGGAACCCAAAAGTTACCATTCATTATTCTTGTCGGGACATAACAGATTCATAATGTAATGTTACAGATAAAAATGAACCAGTTGGGTCCTTTGTAAATTTTCGTTGATTTGGATTCTTGATATTTAGATTGCACGTGCTTACTCATCAAATACCAACACATGTAATAGTAGTATGGAGAATGAAATAGAGCCGAACACAAATCTAACTAACAAATCCCAATTATTGTTCCCAACCATGCGAACTTACTGTGTAGCAACTAAGTTCGATGACTACGAATTAAATTAGCTCTAAACCAGCATTCATCTGCGAGCTCCCTAAATTTGTAAATCTTAGATTTCAGTAGTCCAGCCACATCTTTAAGTATTAAACTTGATACCACTTCTTATTTTTGGTCTTTTATCTGACTCGTCCCCACAGAAAATGGCATTATTTCCATTTCATTTTCCAGTTTAACTTACTCTTACTATGCTATATCAACTTAAACCATTCACACTTATCCCAGATTTCGTCGTCCCTACAATCGACTGGCTGAATGTATTCCGCTTTTTATTGTCGTCAAATTTTATGTTGCTAATAAGAAAGCATCAGCATGACAATCTAAGCCAAAAATTTTACTGCTAATGTTTGATATGAGATATAATTGCGTTTTTTGTTTCTCAGGTGAAGGGATGGCACCGTTTGCTTCTTTGTTCATTCATCCCTTGATAGAAATTATCAATCGTCAGAGCACACCTAAGACGCTCCACGAAAATACTGGTATGTAAACTTTTTGTCGCATATTCACAAATTTTCGTACCAATGTGTTTTTCATGATATCAATTCCCAGGAAAGTTTACTGTTGTGAGGAAAATCCCTAGATTTAATTCTTACGCCCATACAGGTCTAAATTTCATTGCGCTGTATAAGCATTTACTACTGAGTTTATATGAATTGTTTGTCCTCTTTTTTTCGCAAATGCTCATTGACACTACGATCAGATAAAAACATAACTGTTAAATAGAATAATGTAATTAGATTAGCAACATTTTGAATTTGTAGTTTTGGAGGTGACATAACGGTTACACTTCACAACAACACAAAGGGGTAACCTTAACTTTTATATTTAGGTCACTAAAATCCCATTCATCTTGTAGTTACAGTGTCTCAATGGCTTTGTGAAGCGAAGTGATTTCGACCGGTAAACGGTTATGTCAGGATCAGGGTATTTTTGTTTATCTCACTTTAATAGACCAAATGATCGAATAATTTTAGTGTTTTGTTTTCAGCCTAATCGTACAACAAATGATTACTTTCCTAGTGGTGGTAATCAGAATTGGCACACACTTTATGTACAGCTCTCATTCTTTATTGTTAATTGTAACATAACTTTTTACTAACCTAAATAATCTGTAGTTTTCTATATGATTTCTGATTGACATCTTTCTTGACTTAACAATAGTAGTGTTCAGTATTTACAGAGTTTGGATGTAGTTTACATCACGGGTTGACCTTGGTTAGACAACCTCTAAAAAATAGGAAGAACTGGACAACTACTTCGTCCTAGTGTATGACAGTAATGCTCATTCAAGGCACTCTGGTACCAAATTTAGGATCTTCAGGACCCGCAGCTAGCCCTTAACCTTCTAGCTTCCGTTAGTTTAGAATGTTGTACGACCATCGTTCGATCCCATGGATGCCCATTTTTGGGAGGTAATTGCCAGAACTCTAGTAAAAAATCGTTATTAATAGTCTAATAATGTCATTAGTAAGCGATTTTCCCACTGACAGATTTGGTTGGTGGCTATAAGATGTATAATTGAGGTCAAAAGTTCAAACCATCGGATGCAAGCCTAGTAATCTAAATGTGAAGAGATCGCCGTAAGCCTCCAATGTCTGGGGTCCTATCCAGAGTGGGTTGTGCACGCTGACTATTGAGAAGCTCCATACAAAAACAAAACTGTCCAGTATTTTCAGGTTTTACGTAGTTATCTAAATAAGATCGATCCAAATTGTCAGATACAAAATGCATCTAATTTCACAAACACTTTATTTAGATGCAAATAAACTTTGTTCTATTTACTTCACATACAGCGATAACAATTGGACGTCTTGGTTTTGTTTGTCCTGGTGAATTGGCTCCTCATCTAAGCACTTTCATTCGTCAGTGGTAAGTTGTAAAACGAATGTATGATTCCCCGATTTAGTTAACACTTATGAATTTACTTACGGCTGTTAGCCCCTACATCGTGCAGCATAGGCTGCCCACCATAACTCTCCAACCAACTCTGTCCTGGGCTATCCTATCCATTTGTTTCCAACTGCCACTTCACTCTCTTGATGCTTACCCCTGATTCCCAGCGCAATGTGTCCTTTGTTCTTCCTCTCTTCATTACACTCAGTATTCCACGTCAGGGTTTGCCTCGTTATGCAGTCTGATGATTCCTGTAGTTTCGTGTCTGACCCACCTCTTGCGTTTCTTCATCCGGAAGCTGGTTTGCTTTCTCTCACAGTGATCTGTTGTTGATGGTATCCGGTCAATGGATCTGGAGTGTCTCGCATGGACAAATGCTTGTACTTTTTTGATGATGGTTGTGGTGGTTCTCCCAGTTTTGGCTATGTACAATAGGACTGTCTTGACGTTTGTATTGAGGATTTCGACTTTGATGTTAGTTGACATTTGTTTTGAGTTCCATATGTTCTTCAACTGTAGGAATGCTGTCCTGAGGTTAGTTTATTGAGGAGCTCTCCAAAGTGTTGCACCCGCCTGTTCCACTGTCCTTGAATCTCAGTAAATGGTATTCCTTCTTTGTTCTTGACTGGTTTACTATGTTCCCCCTCCAGCTTCTTCCTTGTTTCATATAGTTGTCTCATATCTTTTTCCTGCTGTCATTGTTAGGTCTTCCGCTTATCAGCTGTGATGGCCCTCTTCACTATTGTGTTTGCCTCAGGGTTCGACCTGTGCTTTGGCTCTCTCTGCCCTTGTTAGGTTGTTGTTGTTGCCTAACCCGCATCCAAAAAGTCACAATAATTGTGAGGGTAGGTCGTTTAGTTCTCTGTGGTCTTTTCGTATATCGTACAAAGCGTATTAGAATGTCAACATTTTCCTATAGTCCGATTGTGCTGTTCCAGTACTTTCGCACTCGAATATGTCTTTGTTTTATCTTTGAGGGTTATTGTATTTTGAACTTTGGTTAGCGTAGTAAGTAACTAGCATGTTTTGGTGACTGAGTGTCAATATGAGGATCTTTTAAACTTAAGTTAGTAAATTTTGTGTTATGTGGCTACATTCACGTGGTCTATCTAATAAACACACAGACAGATCTGAATTTGTTAGCTTCGTGATATAATGTAAATCCCTGAAGGTCCCCATAAGGATGATTTTTTATTGATTATTTTACTGTTGTCGACTGTGGAGATTAATGACAGGTGCGTTAATGATTTAGCACCAAGATTTTGGTGAAACTCAAAGCTCATGAAATGTCAAGGTCTGTTTATATAAATCATACACTTGGGGAAACATCCCAAGTAGACGAATAATATTCATTTGTATAATAAATAGATTGATCCACTCGATAACTTATCCAAGATAAAATAGCTGGGTGCTAAATTGATCTAATCTTATTATGATGCAGTGATTCAATGTATTTGGCTTGATGAGTTGGATTTAACTACGTGTTACGTTCCCCACTGTCTGATACTCCTAATTTGCTTATTTTACTCGACTTGTTCCAAAATAAAAAAGGATGAAATTAGAGCAAAATTTTCCGAATAACCGGAACTCCAAAAAATACATCACTAGTTTAGTAGTTTATCTAGAACTTCCAGAAAAGCCATGTAGTTTACTTCCGACTCATTTATCAGCATTGATTAAAAGTGGCTCTGTTAGAATTTTTTGATGTGAACTTGCAGTTTGTATGCAGCTGTCAAGATTTTATCTTGTTAGCACTGGTCACTGAGTTCACAGTTGATGTGATTTAAAGACGTAATTTAGCTCCCTCGATTATTGAGTTCAAGAAACCCGACTGTCAGTATTCCAATCCAACAGACAATTGTTGAGCATAACATTTTAAAGTTCCAATACCCCTTCGCGTCTTTTCTTGTATGAGTTATATGGTATGTACGATTTTCTGAATGTAGTCTATAACCTATCAATCCATGTTTGAAGATGTCAGAAGTCTATAGAGTTAAAAAATATATCGACTTTATTTCATACTCTAAATATTATGTACTTCCTGTTAATTTTTTCTACAATTGTTTTATCCCACTTACTAAGGCTGGCGTGATACTGTTATCTTCATCCTTATAAAGAAGACATTAGTTCCTTAGGAATCTTCCCGTATATTTATTCTTAGATATCATACTTATTCGCTTCCTTTTTGCTTGGCATTTCGAATAACTCATTTAAACATGAAGCCAACATTGGATTTGTCAGTTCTTCAGTGTCCATCTCATCTGACTTCAAGGCGTTTACTGGCATTCTTATCCTGATACATTTTTTTGTGGTCTGTTTGTAGCTGGTTATAAATTTTTGAAATAATACCAAGTTGTTTCATTCTATAGATAATTTTTAGGTTTGTATATTCAAATTAAGGCGGGTTAACTACAGATGTTCCTCAAGTGTTTAATATTTTCCTGAATTATTTAAAACCCTCACGTAAAATAACAGTGTAGGCTTTTTACGGTTACTAGCCATCAGATTAATTTGGCTGTTATGTGCGTATTTATATTTCATGTTCAATGTTCTTACTTATTTTAGTTACATGCTCAGTCGATTTTCTGTTTGCTCTTTAGGTGTCTGTTTTTGCGCAATATAAGGGACAATGAAGAAAAAGACAGTGCATTTCGTGGTATTTGTAATTTGATTACGCTCAATCCTGCCGGTGTCTTGCATGATTTCCTTTTCTTTTGTGACGCTGTAGCTTCTTGGAATAATCCTAAAGACGATTTAAAAGAGAGATTTAATGCTGTGAGTGTATCCTTCCGCTACTTGATATGTAACGCATCGTCAAGAAATTCATCTGTTACTACATGGTTTATTTTTAAAAAAAACTAATTTTTAGGTTTACTCGCTTTACATTTATGTGTGTTTGCTATTCTACCACATAGATGTGGTCAGAATTACTAATCAAAAAGCTAATATTAACTTCAAAGATGTTTAAAATTTATATTGCTTCTAAATTGATATGTAAATAAGTGGTCTGACAAAAACTTACTGACTTTCAGTCAATATAGTTGTAAACCTAGCGAAATAAAGTTTGTTTAAAGCATTTTACATATTCCAGTTTACTTAACATTATGCTAAATGTAGGGCTGAATGATCAAACTGGTCGAAACCATGCTAGATGTTAACTTTCTGGCTGAATTCCATAAATTACACAGGCTGAATGCAGTTAAACCTAAGCTTAATCTAAATTGATTAGTCATTCTGTATTTAACTTTTGAGTTTTTCAACTTGGTTAGTATCAATGAATTAAGTGTTTGCGATTCAAATGAACTCTTCATTTTGACATGTAATAAATGCTTAATTTGATGAAAACCTAGAACGTTCATTATTTATGACTGGGTTATTTACGGTGATCTTAGGTGGTGGTAGGAGTATAAAAAGAGTTTTTATTACTGGACTATCTTGAAAAGATGTCGCTTGAGGAACCTGGGAAGAAAATTAGTCCACTCTTAATAATCTTAATGACCTGGAAAAGTTGCCTCAGAGCCCAACAGTCAATGTTTTGGGGTTGGTCAAAATCGAGGTTTTTGTGGGTAGTTTACAAGAAATTAATTCCGTGCTTCGAAAGTTTTGTAGTAAACGAGGACTGAGATGGTGAATGTCTCCTTAAAATATGAGAACCATATGTATGATTATTCGACTTCAAAATCCCTCTCTATTTCCCTTTCTGCTTTCTTCAACTCTATCTTAGCCTTCTGCTTCCAGTTTTTCCACTTCCGATTATGTCGACAGACGTAAGTAGCATACACCAAAGTCTTACCAACGGCAATGGAAGTCTGTGGAACAAGGTGAAGTGTATATTTTTAGGACCAACCTCCAAACGCTTTCCTCCGTCTTGAAAAGACAGCATCACTACAGGTGTTAATCTTCTGTGGAAAACACCTTCCATCATACCTCTGTTTTACCAACATTACGACTCTGCCATTAGATTATAAGTTGCTGCTTTTATTCGTATCCCTCTCCAGCCAACTTGCCTGATATGTTAGGACATTATGGAACAAGTGTCCTAGTCAATATATTTCGGTTGGGTCATCGCGACATACAAGACCGACCGCTACCATAAGTTAGCAGCTAAAGTCGGGACAATGAATTATCGAAAACGTTGATCATTTCATTAATCCCTACACGGTTGTTTTCATCGCTATCATGTGGAAACATTCGTTTAATTTCATTGAATCGCTTACATTTGTGTGATGACTGGAAAATGTTCTTGTGTTTTGTTATCTTTATTTAACTATCAGATTTTACATGGATTCAAAGTCCAGGTTGGAGAAGATGATTGGAGTAAATTCTGGAGTCAGTGTCCTCCAATGCTTCGTGAACGGTTATCTCTTCAGTACAATCTTTGAGATTTTTTGATTTTTGAGTAATGCATGTTTTGGTCCTAATTTTTGTTCGCGCCTACCCACTTTTACGTCGATTCAATGTTTTTACAATTGGCCTTCGCGTTTTTTCCTCGAGTATGGTTAACTATCTTACATCTGGCATCCAGTGTTTTGATCAACCAAGTTAACTGATTCATGTATCGCGGTAAGAAATGTCACTTATCGAAAATATTAAATGCCCATCTCATCGATGCTGAGTTCGTCAGTGTTAGCGTGCTGTGACGTGTACCATCTTGTGTTACTGAGAAACAGGTTTTTTTAAAAATATTACACATTTTTTTATAGTACTGGTGGCTTCCTGTTATATATATATCTTAAAGACTACATTGAATTGTTAAAATATTACTAAAAATTTAATCCAATTTGTAGTATCTGGTTGTTGTACTCGTGCACCTTATTCCTCACTAGAGAAACAGTGTCTACTCGAGTAACCCAACTTACATATCCGTTCGGGATAAAAGAGTAAACGATGTATCCATGTAATTTATTTGAATTTCATATTACAGAACGTTAATTTATCTGTGGCATCACTTGTTATGTGTAAGTGATATGACTAAAGTCAGTCTGCTTCTCCGTTAAATTGCCGGGAATGTTAGTCGAAATGTTTTAAGGCGTCAGTGCATGATAACATTGTGCTCCCGTACAAATGACAGAGTTTTCGTAACACAACCATTGTCTTATCCATAAGTTCTATGCTGCTAAATTTGCAATTTTGATGTTTACAAAATATGCGATCGACAATGCAACATGATCACATAATACTTGATAAAGTAAGGATAGGAACTCTGTAACTAAAAGGAAAACGATATGTTTGCAGAAGTAACGTGTTACTTTCAGGTAAACAGTTACTGCACGGCCATTTTTGTATTTTTTTCGTCCCTTTGGAAAAAATTTTCATCCCCATCTTCCAATAATTTACATTCTGTTTCGTCCAATCAAATAACTAGTTTTGAGTTCGTTATAATTGGTCGTTTATTTCTTCAAATCGATATAAAATATGAGGACTTGACGACAGAGCACATTTTCTTACAATTATTATGGACGATAGTAACATGCAGAGCACGAGCTCCGTCGTTCCTCATGTTGTCACAGAAACCGATAACCTATTCTTGAGCACATTGTATCTCGTAGCGTTCCAATCTCTTGAAGCGTTGAAGAGCGCCATTAGAACGTATGAAAGAGCCACGTACTGCCATCATGTGGTGAGATTCTCATTTACATAGAGATCGGAAGTCGTATATTTAATTCGTATGTTGGAGAAATGGCCGTAGAACATCTAGCGGTTCCTCACAGCCGAGTAGACGAACGAGGTAATTTGATTTGTGTTATTATAATTTTTCATTAAGGACTACCGTGAGCACTCGATGTCCTTCCTTCATCTTTTGTAAGTTCATTGAAGGTTACTGGACTGTTGTTCGTGGGAATGTGTATCACAATCACGAGTGCAATTCCCTAAGGTACCAAAGTAATTATTGGATGCGCAGGTTAACGGAGGTGGAATTCGAAACAGTGAGACCACTTTTGATATCTGGGACAGCGGCATTCAATATTACCAATCTTATAGAAAGTGTATTGATCCTCAAGATGTTTTTAATATGCGCCACAAAGTGTCCTCACAAGCCAACCTTCCTGGTAAGCAATGTGCCTATTTAAATTGTCAACGATAGGTGATTACTCCCAATTGAAAGATCACATCATGTCGCTTGGTGGCCTCTGTGAATACGACTTAGATGGAGATAACTGTCTGTTGTATTTCTTCTTCACAACAGCAGATCAAATGAGTTTATCAAGTCGATTTTTTGATGTTGTTGGTTTTGATGGGACCTACAAAACCAATAAGGAAAATTTATATTTGTATCAGGTTGTAGCACTTGATATGAATTTCATGGCAATACCTGTTTGTATTGCATTCATTAGTTCCGAAACATCTAGTTTAATTGCTCATTTCCTGTCGTTCTTCCGCCAATCAACTAACAATCGAGAGGTGGTAGGCATTGCAACAGATGATTCACCTGCAATAGCTGCTGCCATTATGCAGGTGTATCCCAATTCCCATCACATTTTGTGTCGCGTACACATAATTCGTAATGTGTTAAGGAGGGTAAGTTTTTCGTTGCTTAACATTAAGCCATTAATCGTCATTGTAGAGGCTACGAGCAGAAACTGGACAGTGGATTCCATGGAGGTGTGTTGATGGGTCGTAGGCACAAAATAAATGAAACATTGCATCACATTGACAAAAAATCCAGGTACTTCCATCAGCATTTTCATGTGGTGGTTGCGCAAGATTGCAAATATCACAAAGTCTGTTGTCATGCGTGTTTTCGTCATCGTCTAGTTCAGTGAACTCCTCTGAGTTCATCGAAACAATTTCTTCGTCTTCATTGCTTAACATTTCATCCATATCAACATTATGTTGATAGCTGGTAACTGCTGTCTGATGGATCGACGGCATTGTAACATTAGTGGAAGTAGAGGTTCCTATCTGAAACTCTGTAACAGCAGGTAATGTGGACGGTGCTGGAGGTATCCTACCGTAAACAAGTTGATATGCATTATTGTACACCATTGTACATTGCTCTTCGGACATACGCCTAAGTAAGGCATACAGCGACGTTCTTACACTTGTCTGTCTTATTTGAACAGGGGAGGTATTGTCAATCGCAACACTGGTAATGTACCTGTCCGATTGCAACCATCTATCACTAATTATCTGAGTATTCACTTCATTATTACTGCGTATGCAGTAGGCTAAAATATGACGACAAGGTATTCGGTTTTCAATGTAAAAAGCACATGAACATTTGAGTGGATTACTGCAGACTGTATAAGTGCCTGTACCATCAACAGCCGTTGACAAGTCCACGGACATTACAACCTCTGTGATAGGAGTGCGCAAATGCCGCTTCAGTAATTGACATGCAGCTGGAGTAAGTCTTTCCCGAAGACGACATATTACTGGCTCCCGACCGATTATTGTTTTATTACGACAATCACAACAATACTTCTGCATTCGCGCATCGATCCAATATCCAGTGCGAAGAAACACACGGAATATTGATCTCAACACGGGTATTCTTCTGTTCAGCTTATGCTATTTAAGAATCCGATGAGTTATCTCAACGAAATCCGTATTACTTTGTCCCAAGAGCATCGCTGAGGGTCGAAAAGCATTTGACCACTTGTGCTTTTTAGGCAACAAGTGATCTCTCACATATCGGTAAAAATTTCCGTCTGATGCTTCAATTAATGGAAACTACAAAAGACTGTAATGCATATTTTAATTTACCTTTCGACATTTCTAGTGAACATCAGACGGAAGAAAAGTTGTCCAGTTTCTGCTCGTAGCCTCTACAATGACGATTAATGGCTTAATGTTAAGCAACGAAAAACTTACCCTCCTTAACACATTACGAATTATGTGTACGCGACACAAAATGTGATGGGAATTGGGATACACCTGCATAATGGCAGCAGCTATTGCAGGTGAATCATCTGTTGCAATGCCTACCACCTCTCGATTGTTAGTTGATTGGCGGAAGAACGACAGGAAATGAGCAATTAAACTAGATGTTTCGGAACTAATGAATGCAATACAAACAGGTATTGCCATGAAATTCATATCAAGTGCTACAACCTGATACAAATATAAATTTTCCTTATTGGTTTTGTAGGTCCCATCAAAACCAACAACATCAAAAAATCGACTTGATAAACTCATTTGATCTGCTGTTGTGAAGAAGAAATACAACAGACAGTTATCTCCATCTAAGTCGTATTCACAGAGGCCACCAAGCGACATGATGTGATCTTTCAATTGGGAGTAATCACCTATCGTTGACAATTTAAATAGGCACATTGCTTACCAGGAAGGTTGGCTTGTGAGGACACTTTGTGGCGCATATTAAAAACATCTTGAGGATCAATACACTTTCTATAAGATTGGTAATATTGAATGCCGCTGTCCCAGATATCAAAAGTGGTCTCACTGTTTCGAATTCCACCTCCGTTAACCTGCGCATCCAATAATTACTTTGGTACCTTAGGGAATTGCACTCGTGATTGTGATACACATTCCCACGAACAACAGTCCAGTAACCTTCAATGAACTTACAAAAGATGAAGGAAGGACATCGAGTGCTCACGGTAGTCCTTAATGAAAAATTATAATAACACAAATCAAATTACCTCGTTCGTCTACTCGGCTGTGAGGAACCGCTAGATGTTCTACGGCCATTTCTCCAACATACGAATTAAATATACGACTTCCGATCTCTATGTAAATGAGAATCTCACCACATGATGGCAGTACGTGGCTCTTTCATACGTTCTAATGGCGCTCTTCAACGCTTCAAGAGATTGGAACGCTACGAGATACAATGTGCTCAAGAATAGGTTATCGGTTTCTGTGACAACATGAGGAACGACGGAGCTCGTGCTCTGCATGTTACTATCGTCCATAATAATTGTAAGAAAATGTGCTCTGTCGTCAAGTCCTCATATTTTATATCGATTTGAAGAAATAAACGACCAATTATAACGAACTCAAAACTAGTTATTTGATTGGACGAAACAGAATGTAAATTATTGGAAGATGGGGATGAAAATTTTTTCCAAAGGGACGAAAAAAAGTTTCACTCGAAAAAAAATACAAAAATGGCCGTGCAGTAACTGTTTACTTAAAACCACTTATATGTCCCATGACATGTAATTATTATTCTATGTTTTTTTTACAGATGTGTATTGTACTAAAAGGGAAACCTCATTTTTCAACCAATTGTTTTGCCTTTAATATCAGTTTATTTGTTAGCTTCTGTCAGTTTGATCTTTGAGTCATTTGTCTGTCACTGGCATTGTAAAATATCCATCACAATTTTTTAGATGTGTAACTAAACTAGAAGTTCTAAGTCAGTCGGTCAGCTACAACGTAGGACCAGGCACATATGTGCATCGGTCCAGGTTGC